CTGCTCGCCTTGCCAACAACTAGTGGAAATTGCTCGATAATGATTAGTACCCACAAAAAAGTAGACGACCGCAGGATGGACCACAGAGAAGTGGTGCACGTATATTAAAAAGCGATCTACGGTGCCCGGGGTCCAAGGGCCAGGCATAGCTGCGCTCGGCGTATGGAGTTATCCTAGTCTTGGCGCAGAGGTGGGGGGATTGGATCTTTGCCCCAGTGGCACAGGCACAAGCGCTACAAAATTCAGGACTTAAAGCCAAAACTGAAGAAAACTCTCTTCCACACCCTCCGTCGCCCCACTTCCCCTCACTCATCGCCGCTAGGAGCCCCACACCTATTTCCTCACCCCCATTCGTCGCTCCTCTCAGAAGACCTTCCTGGATCCGCCTATGATCCCAGCAAAATCACTGAAACGGGATCTTCACAATGACTGCTACTGTGGCTTTCATATTCTTATCATAATTCAAATTTAGGTAAAATATGGAACAAATATTATAGAAAAGAAACAAACAAAAATCAATTTGTTCTCCCACGCAATGTTTCACGAGTACAGCGGTTAAATATATTTTCCAAACGACACGCGTAGAAGCTTACCTGACAAAAAGCACTGGTGGAGTTGCTTGCCAAATACCAGTAATTTTATCCTGGACACCCAAATGGCAACGTTTGAAAATACGTCTTACGAATTTCGCTACCATTACAGATCCCCCATTCAGGATTAAATTGAACACTGAGAGTCGCCGAAGCAAAACGAAATGTCTGACACGATCAGTTGCCGCTCCTGAAACACGATTTTCCAGAGAAATGCTATGCAATGATTCCGCAAGCTTTCATCCCGATCTTGTAATCCGAGGTAACTGATTGTTAGGGATGTCACAGGTTAGTCAGAGTAACTGGTTCCTACAAAGCAAAACATTCTAGACTTCGCATTTCCCTAAAGTTTCAGCTTTTCTCGTTCCCGAGCTACCAGTTTTTCCAAAACTTTCACGCGGTCGTACGAGGGGCCCAGACGTGCTTGAGAGTTGGTACTGCGATCCCGAGGGAACAGTCCTGAAAACGCAACAATTTTGAATTTTGCACAGAACACTGCCCTGCATTTATAGATCCATTTTTACATATTCAGGCCGCAGAAGGTGCGGCTAAGAGTCAAAG